TATGAATTAATATTTGAAGTCCAAATTTTTTGTATTAACTTAGCTTATTTAATATATTTTGATATAAAGGATTTGAATCAAATATCATACTCAATCAAAGAAGAATTTCATGATTCTTATATACTCTAATCAAGCTTAACATGTCATATTTGTGTTAATTGGGCATATTGATGACCTCTATAATAAATGAATTACATACAAGTCAGGTTTAGATTGGCGGAGTTTGGATTCAATTGAATCTAGATCAAATATTCTGACCCATATAATAATAGGTCAGCCACAAGTTCAGATTGTGCCAACCTCAATTCAAACCTAAACCAAATCCGCCAACCCAAACTAACACCCCTACACCACAGTATGCTTGCATAATTCGTTGAAAACTCTACCAAGCCAAGGTACAAAATCAATGATGATGTTGGATCATGAAATGCTAGCAAATAGATGATAAGTCAACATTTGACTTCTTAAAAAAAAAATTCTATAAATATCAAAAGCATACATAAAAAAAAAAAAATATTTGCTGGAATTTAAATCGCTGTAAAAAGCTCATATCCACATCATTAATAAATGATGTACGCTTATCATTTGACTATGAAACTCCTAAAACTATTTCATCACGAGCTACCGACACAATTTTTTTTTTCCTTCCTGTTTCTATCGCCAACTGTAGCCCTCTCTTCTTCTTCCTCCGTAAAGCATGTCTGTGAATGAGTATTTTTTTTTTTTTTTTTTTTTTTTTTTTTTTTTTTTAAATATCGCTCACAGTCGCGGGGAAGAAGGAGGCGGCGGAAACCCTAGCAGAGCAAAAAAGACCATCGCGCGATTGTGTCTGTGAATGAGTATATAGAAGCAATTGTAATGTTTGCAAATACGCCTTAACTAAGATTTTATTTGGAATTACTTTCTTACTATTTTTTAAAACAGATTTTTTATAAAAAATTTTAACTTTTTTATTAGAAAACTGCTTTAAGAAGCGGTAAGAAAATCATCTCAAACGGAGCCTAAGTATGCCAATTGCATGAAGAAATTCTCGCATTTATAGTAAGTTTCTTAGTTTCCAGGATTTTGAAATCGTTGCAGCCAATTAAGCACAATTTATTTGCTGGAAGATGGAGAAGTCTCAAAGATGGTTTTCACAGCGGATTACAAAAGAAAAACTATTTTGTGCAAGGCTTCATTTGGGACGGTTTTTTTACTACTTCTTAAAATAATATTTTTATAAAAAAAATTATTTTTTATACTGAAATGCCGCTTTAAGAAACAGTAAGAAAGCCACCCAAAACGAAGCCTAAAATAATTAATTTTTGTCCCAATATCAACTTCACATCGTACATAATCTAAGGTTTCGTTTTTTGGTTGCTTTCTTCCTGTTTTTTAAATTAATTTTTTAGTATAAAATTTTAATTATTTTTAAGTAAAAAAGCCATCCCAGGATTTTTTTTTTTGCAAAAACCTATTTATAAAATTCTTAATTTTCTTTTACAAATTGAAAGCTATCTTTTCATTTCTTAAAAATGTCTTTCGTCATTTTTTTATTATTTAAAGAACAACGACAAAGCATGGGCGCAAAAGATTGCTACGGTCAAAATTTGATCAATACATCATATAAGAATTGTTCTGTCAATTTGAACAGAATATGCTTATATTTTAGTATGTAAATAGAATCAAATATTGGATTGATTCCACTACATATAATTTATGAATTAGCACGAATCTTAATGAAATTTGATTAATTGACCTTTTTATTCATTCGGCATGAAATTCTTATTAGTCGATCATATGAAATTGGCTCCTCCATTTTCAAATAAGTTAGTTTTGTGTATCTATCATCACGGGCGGAATTGTGTACTGATGACAGATCCCAATTATTTGTAATCCGCCTCCCCTAATTTTATTTTTTGCCCCTAGCTGATCTTTTTTTCACACAATTTGACCCTCAAAAAATTGGAAAGCCTCTTGGCCTCCTGTTACTTTCATCCAATTATGTTTTGTTTTTTTAACACTAACAAACAAGTCTGTGAAAAGCCATTATGTGCAAAATAAATTATTTTTTCACATTTATATATATTTTTAACTTTTTCTTTTATAATTTTGTCACTTGCCCCTATCTATCATCTGCTCGATTGTTATTGGAAGCATAATTTTATCGAAATCTGAACGTACCATCACTAATAAAGTTTTTATTATAATACAAACGAGCCAACTATTGAGATTTCGTTTGGAACAGTTTTTTTGTTGTTTTATTTTTCAAAACATTATCATAATTTTTGTTTGATCAATTCTTTTCAACTACTTTTAATAAAATTTTACACTAGAAATCTATTTTTTATAATAGCTTTCAAGAAAGTTAATTTCTCTATGCAGCTATACAACCATCTTTATAAAAAGTTGCAGCTATCTCAAATAAATCATAATTTTTTTTTTAATTGTTCCCTTAATTTTGTTCTAACAATAGCCATATTTGATATTTCTATCACACTTGAGGGCAGAGCGAGGTTAGGAAGAGCTCAAGATAGATAATTATTAGCCCAGATAATTTTTTTCCCTTATAGCATAAATATTTATTTATTGTTATTTTTTATTTCACTCATAAGATTATGAAAATCTTAATTCTATTTTATTCATCCTTAAAAAAAAAAAGTTCCGCCCCTCACATTTGTGGCTCAAATTGAAACATCCAAACATTTTTCATATATAAAACGTCAAGATCGAACACTATTATGACTTCTTAATTAACTCGTCGTTAGTTAATTACTTAATAATTGCGCTTTTATACTTTAATACTAATTAAGCTGAGGTGAGCCGAGTCAAGCAGCGTAGTGTCGGTGGGCCGATGGCTTGTCTGAAGCCGACCCGAAAGCAGGGCTCCTATAGTTTATATAAAAGTCATTAATTTTATTATTTTTTCAAATTATTGAATTTATCTGATTTGGATGTTCATTTAATTTATTATGATAGAATCCTTCGATGGCAATGGGCTTTCTCATTAATAGAATTATTATGTTGTTTAAAATCTATAATTTTTTTTCCAATCGATATCCAAAACCACATTATAATTAAGTTTAAAATAGTTTTTATGTTTACAAAATTGTATTAATTATAATAACAAAATTTAATAGTGAAAATAATTGTTCTAATACATGCACATAAATCATAACTGTGTTATTTTTTAAAATAAATAAAATAATAATAATAATATTTTTTTTTTTTTTTTTTTTTTTTTGCAAAAAAAAAAAAAAAAAGCAACCGAACAATCATTTATAACTTCCTGCGCAACAGGAGCCGAAACCACATCATTCACTTCTTTCAGCAAAATAGGGCTCCCCTCAACAACCGAAATTTGAACATCATTGCAATTAACATGACATTTCAACTCACAAGCCGGCTTATTTAGTATGAAAGAGAGATTTTTTTTAACTATTATAATAAAATGATAAAAAGAATGAGAAATGAAAAAAAAAATTTAAGAATTAATTATCATAAGAAAGTTAAATAGATTTTCTAAAAGTTTTAAACAACTTTATTACTTTAAATTTTGAACGTTAATATATTTTATGTTTATTTTATATTAATATTTTTTAAACAAGCTGTCTCGTGAGCTCATAAGTCGAGTTAGGGCTAGCTCAAGTTTGGCTCATTAGCCATTTATCGAGCCAAGCCCAAACCGCTCATTAGTCAGCTTGACTCACTTACACCCCTAGTTGTAATAATAATAATAATTTAAATAATGATAAATGATAAGTTGGAGGAAAAAATAATTAAGACATAAAAAGGCTCTTAATTTCTTTAATTACACAATGTAGCAGGATTATTAAATTGTATAGATGAAGAAAATACAAAATAGACATCTCTCTCACACTACAAATTAGTGGGAGACAGCATCCAACCCAAGCCTCCAACCATGTCTTTGGGGATACTTTATTTAGTTTGAGTTGGTTGGGGTGTGATATTCTAGGCCTCTTTTCTCTCCATTATTTTACACTCACCAAATCTTGATCTTTTCCATCTTCATCAAACATTGTGAAGATTAATTCCTTCCCACTCACTAATTAATTACTTAGAAAAAAAATATTTAAGGAGTTCATTGCACATTTTATTTTCAAAAAAAAAATTATTGTAAAAAAGATTATAAGTAATGTATAATATATATATATTTTTTAAGTAATGTATAATATAATTAGCTGAATAATAAGCCAAAACAATAATAAAAAATTTCACTAAACAGTTCTTATCCTTATTGATCTTGTCATATTCACTATGAAATCATTCTTCTTGAGAATTATTCCAAAAATCCTTGACATCCTTAGTATAAATAAATATAACTATTTTGTATTCTTGATTATTTTTTAAAAATGGAGGCTAAATTTTTATTTATTTTCCTACTTACGATTATAAAATTAGGATCTATAGCAAATATTTGCTTCTAAAAATAAAAATAATTCAATTGAATATATTAGAGGATTAAAAATTTATGGTAAATTTTCATAGGATGTTTCTTTCTCCACAACTGTTTTAAAAAAAATCTCATGAGGATTAATCTTTACCAGAATTTGCGAGGAATGTCTGAAAATCATCTTGTAAATTTATTTATTTTTGAGAATTTGTATGTTTGAGAAAACTATCTCTGTCAATAAATTTTTTATTTTACTGAGTAACATTTCTAGCATTTTATGGCTAATGTAAATTTGCAATGTTATATATAAATGTGTTTCTGAGAATATTAAAGCACTTGATTTGAAAATAAATAAAAATTGCATCAAAATATATTTATGTAATTTATATCAAAATTAGAAGAAAGTATTTAAAATTATATGATAAATTCACAAAATTTGAAGAGATTTAAAATTTTAATTTAGACAAAAAAAAATTATGATATTTTTTTTTTTTATTTAAATGTCTTTAAATTTTTAGCATTTGTTTTATAAATCTAATTATTTTATCTTATTATTCTGGTATAAATTATATCAATATATTTTGATATATATATTTTTAAATTACCTATAATAAGGCCTGCCTACCAAAAGATATCTCCCTTCCACAAGTTCATCACACAGCTTGCAACTATGACAGATCCATACACAAATTTCTTCAAAGGTTACTTCAATCACTACACTTTTTCCTCCAATTCTCCTCCTCCTCCTCCTGCTCCTTATCCTCATCCCTTCTTAAATCCAAACTCCAGCTTCTATCACAACTACTACAATTACACCAACTGTAATAACAACCCACCTTCCTCTCCTCCGCAAAGAGAAGCCCTTCCTCTCCTTAGACAGAGTCCAGCTTCTTCCACTCTCCATCATGACGAAGAAGAACATAAAAATAAGAAGAACAACAACGAAGGAGGACTACAAAATGATCAAGATGCTGAGGAAGATGAAGAAGCAGTGACGGTGGCTCTTCACATAGGACTTCCAAGTCCTAGCGCAGCAGATCTAATCTCAAGAGTCTCCTGCACCCAGCAAGTTGGAGAAGAGACGGAAGAGGTAGAAGAAGAAGTAGAGGTTCCGTTAGGTTATACTGAGAATTCCATTGGGAAGCTCAACAAGGGCCAGTACTGGATTCCTACTCCTTCTCAGATCCTTATTGGGCCTACTCAGTTCTCCTGTCCTGTGTGCTTCAAGACCTTCAATAGATACAATAACATGCAGGTTAAATTAATTTCTTGTTCCTCTTCTCTCACTTGTTTGCCTTTTGTTTCCTATATTCTTCGTATATCATATTCTTATGCATACTTTGTCTTTCTTGCATGGTGATTGTTTAAAACTTTGATTCAGCTTTCAGGTCACTATTCTTTATGTGATTGAACTATACAGAGTCAAAGTTTCTTGTGCTGTCTTTTTGGTATTGTATTATTAATTAATCTCTATATGAAAAGACCCCTCCCTCCCTCCACTGTTTCTTTTAGTCTTCAGCTTCAAATCTTAAAAAAAAACACACTCAAGTCTTCTGCACTCCCAGTCCTTCAAATTCAATAAAGTTTCTTTCTGTCTATCTCTCTTTCACACACTCTCTCACAGAGCGAGAGAGAGAGAGAGAGAAAGACAGAGAGCGAGTAAGCTGGGAAGAATTTCTTTCATTTTTAGAAGTGAACTTTACTGTGGCCCTTGCTTTTGCAGTCTTTTGACTGTCAAAGCACTAACCAGTTACAGTTCTTGCTCAGTGCCTTGAATCATCAAATGGCTTCTAAGTAAAACTATATATCTCCACATGTCAGAAAGAACAATTCAGTTTGTCAATATAACCCAAATAATGAGAAGCTGTGTACAAACTCCGCCAATAGTACTCTTATCTCTTTATCTCTCACCCTTCACTAAATAAAAGAAATTTTCCTCTTCTAAATTTATCAGTATGGCAAACATATATCTTCAAAGTGCTAGAAAATTTTTATTATTTAAAAGTAAAAAAGAAAAAAAAAGTATTTACAAGACAACAATCAATACAATAACAAACATGCAATTATTTAATCCACAAATAAGAAAAAGTTCAGTTAAATATCAAATGCTATATACTACACAGCCATGCAAAAAAGATATATATCAGACATGCTCAATGAAATTTTGAGTAACATGTCCTTCTGAATAGCCAAATTTTATCCTATATGTTGATACATATATATAATGTCTTGATTAATTAACTAGATCTATATTAAGCAGATAAACTAATAATTAATCTTCCATCAGATGCACATGTGGGGACATGGCTCACAGTACAGAAAAGGACCAGAATCTCTTCGTGGAATCCAACCAACGGCAATGCTAAGGCTACCATGCTATTGCTGTGCTCCTGGCTGCAGAAACAACATAGATCATCCTCGCTCAAAGCCTCTTAAGGACTTCAGAACTCTGCAAACACATTACAAGAGAAAGCATGGCATCAAGCCTTTCACGTGCAGAAAGTGTAATAAGGCTTTTGCAGTTAGAGGAGATTGGAGGACACATGAGAAGAACTGTGGCAAGATTTGGTATTGCATTTGTGGATCAGATTTTAAGCACAAGAGGTCTCTTAAGGATCACATTAAGGCATTTGGTCATGGCCATGCTGCTTATGGGATAGACTGCTTTGACGAAGAGGAAGAGCCATCGTCGGACATCGAACAAGACGGGGGTGCCAGTACTGGAGTGCAGAGTTGTGAAGGAAGGTGAGCAAATTAGTGTGGTTTGGTTAATTTGGTGCATTAGATAAGTTAATCTTATGGAACATAGTTTTATCGATCTAGCTTCTGATGAAGTAGTTAATGAAGGATGGTCTTTTATAAATCGCATTTGAACAAGCTCTGGCTGCTTGGTTACAGAAATACTATTAATTAGTTTTGGTCAAGCATCTAATCAACTTAAAATGAAGAAGATAACTGTCTATTTGCTGGTTACAAAAATTTTAATTTATTACTATACTTCTATTTAATTGTGCTATTAAAGATTATTTATTGATCATATATGTTTAAATGTGATTGAAAATATCTTCTATATTACAAAGAGCAGCGTAGCATATTTTTTAGGTTATATATATATATATATATATATATATATTATATGCTAATCACAATTAGTTAGCTTAGGCTTTGTTTGAGAGGGCTTTCTTAATGTTTCTTAAAGTAGTTTTCTAGTAAAAAAATTAATTTTTTACAAAAAAAATTGTTTTAATAAGCAGTAAGAAAGACATCCCAAACGAGGCCTCTTATAGAATTAAAAAAAAATGAGAGATAAGCATAATTTTAGAACATGTGAGAGGAATTAATGTATATGTTATATTAATCATCTACAATGGACGTAACTATAATTATTTTTTTCAAAAATATACAAAATAATTAATATCTAGCTTTTAAAAATAATAAATATCTATAATTTAAAATTATAATGATATCTAACGTTTTACCATTACTTGGCATTTTCTTGGGAAGATTGAAACCCTTCACCTTATAACCTCTTCATTCTCCTCTTTCTTCTTCTAATTATTATTTTAAGGTGGGGGGTTATTTCACTTATGTGACTCGTATTTATAGGCTTAAGCTATAATTAAGCTCCTGCTGTTCTTTTCTCCTAACAACGTTAAGCCTAACTAAATAGTAAATGCTCCCTTTCAGATTGAAAGTATAAATATACATACCTTGCTGCATTGAATTCTGTTCAAATTTACCACATTTTCTTAAAAAAATTTATTTCTTCGTTTTGCATTTATAGTAACACTGTCCAACCTGTTCGCTGGTGAGATCCCAAACATTGAAGCATAATTTCAGCAATGTGAAGCCAATCACTGATAAATGCAGCCATCTTTTGGATAACGGGAAATTTTCACAAGATACTTTGTTTTTTTTTTTTTTTAATATTTGGAACTAATATTAAAAAAAAAGTAAGAAAATGCCTCTTGATAGCTTGGTCTTTTTAACATAATAGAGCTTGTTTTGATTAATTAAACCCTTGTAGGAGTTTTTCAGATGTTGCAACCTTTCAGACATTCGGCCAAATGATCAATAGCTGTATCCACATCTACTTTATACTTTTTTCATGCTTTTATCTGATCTGAAATTTTTTTTGCTTAGAACACAAATATATAAAAGATTTTGGTTCTTGCTGAAAGCCTTTCTTTCCTTTGAGTTATTCCATGGAGTTCACTTTAGTAGCCAGAAACAGCCAGAAACATGCTTTTCCTTTTTAACTTATAACCATATGGTTAGTAAATGCTGAGTGTGTACGTGAATTAATAAAGGAGTTTCTACCCATTCAAGTTAACCTTTCCTGTTCTTTTAACTTCAGCATTTAATGAGAAGAAAACTATTCCTTTATAACATACATTAAGTCAACTTTTATGAACACTAGGAGATAATATTGAGGTAGCTCATCTTTTTTATAAAATGCCACATAAATTAATGTGAATAATTTATTTATAATTGTGCATTTCATTTCACATAAATTAATATTAGTAAATTTCTTATGTGATTTAAAAATTAAAATGTTATATAAATAATTATAAGCATCTTGGTTTTAGATAGATAAAATATGAAATAATTAAATGATAATTAGAATTGCTTCAAGAAGAGAGAGAGAGAGAGAGGGAGGGAGAGAGAGAAAATGATGTTGATGAGACATTTCAAGAACAGTTCTTCCACTAGCATAGTTTTGTATGAAGCGTGGAAGGTTTCAGTCTGTGAGCTGAAGAGAGCAGACTCAGACAACGATTGCTTATGTTCTACACTTTGCAGTCTGCCTCTGCCATAAGTCTTGAATCGAGCTTCAGATATGCAATTGCTGCTTAATTAATAATCAAATTCATATAAGACTATCTCCATTTATTTTTAGTAGAGATTTAAGTTCATAAAGTAAAGCTTCCTCCATGAAAATATGTAAAAACTTAGTAAAGATTAATAATTTAAGAATTAGCAAAGATTAATAGCTAAATTCATATGCTTGAAATTTCAGTAACTCCCTCGCTAGAATTTTAACTCCCTCCCTCCCTTCCTCTCTCTCTCTCTCTCTCTCTCTCTCTCTCTCTAACTCTAACCCCACTCAGACAAACATATTTTTTTTATTGTGAGATGACAAAAATTCTAGAGATTCGCTGACTCAACTCAAGTCTCTCTCTCTCTCTCTCTCTCTATATATATATATACAGGGGCGGAGCTAGGATTTTTTTCATGTGGGGGCACAAATCATTGAAGCAAAAAAAAATCCTCACGGTTGACAAGGTTTTTCAGCAAGTAATATCTCTAAATACTATTCCTCTTGTTAGAATGATAATCTAGAAATTTTTTTCTAAATGCAGGATCTACAGGGATATTAGCAAAATTTGTTTTTATACAGCTTTGTTTAATTTGTGTATTATATTCCTCATATAAAATTTTATGATCATCTCCTTCAAATTTCGTTTTGAAATGCCATTCCATATCTAATTTAAATTAAAATGAGGTTGAAAATTTTATGCTTGTAACAAAAAAAAAAAAGATTTTTTTGCTAATTAAATGATAAATAACAAAAAATATACTTATCAACTGTTACAAAGCAGTAGAACGCTAGAAATTCTTTGCTTTTGAAAATGTTCCTAAATGAAAAAGTAATAACTTTGGCCATGAAGATTTGTAACATCTTAAATGGTTTATCAGAACTGAAACGTTTGATGTATCAAGAACCACATAATGAAGATTATGATGTGATGGTCTCTATGTTGATATATTCTAATAATTCCTATTTACAAATCACAATCACAAAAAATGATTTGTAAATACTAAATTCACCAACCAAGCTTTGTGATTGCCAAATAATGAGTTAGTTCCTAAGTAAAATTCCACCTGCTAAATTTGAAGACTCAGTTTTAGCATCATTCAAATTAGATCAGCTATACATATTCGAGTATTAGATAAATTTTTATGTTGTCTCTAAATTCCTTATTTTCAGATCACACCGGTTAATATATGTTGTGCTCACAAGTACTCAGTTGTATTGGTTCAGGACGCCGCTATATATATATATAATTTTGTAAATAAAAATCTTTCTCATATATTTTATAAAAGAGCATAAGACAAATAAAAAAATTAATAAGATTTATTGGAAAGTACAAATCCTTGATGTAAGAGTTGAATGGAAAGCATATCATGTATATTTTCAAAAAATAAATACTATTGTAAAAAATAGGGATCAAAGTGACCTATGCTTAATTGGAAATTTTGATGTGAACCATAAAGCCAAAGCTCAAGCTCAATTCTATGACTAATTCACTCTCTTGTAAGACAAGTAAGATTTTAGGTATGTTAAAGTGATGCTGTATAATTGAAAATTATGTTGATGCCAAAATACTAAATGATTGCTTTTTTTTTACAAGCTTAAACTCTTGCATTCAAAATGGATGATTTGACTTGTTAACATCTCTCTTATTCTAGAAATTATTATGTGTGAAGTCTGGACGTAGATTGTGTATGGACTCCAATCAAAATAGGTCACGTCGACTATACACAACCTCTATACAACATTGTACATTGGGTGCAAGTATAATATACACCTTGTGTATATGCAATGTGACTAATTTTGTTTGGAGCCTGGACGCATTCAGACTCCACACGGAATATTTTCTCCTCTTATTCATTCTCTCTATGTATAGATTTTAAGAAATTGTACTTGGTGAAAAATATGTGAGGAAAAGTTGCTCTATATATGGTTTAGCCGGACAAGTGATACCGAATATCACTTGAGCTAATTTTATATGGTCATAAGCCTTAGATTATAAGTAACTAAGGACATACTTATTTACTATTTTTTTATGCATTTACTAGCTTTGGTTGAATTCTTGTGCATATTTTTTAATCTCTTATGTTGTATTTTGGGCATTTGTGCTGAAAGCTTTTATGTGTTACAAAGTGTCAAAGTGACTTGTGATGTATTGTATCATATGGGATTCTTGTTATTTAGGCATGAACATTGAACTAGTCCAGTCATCTCTCATGCATTAATCTTGCCTAGTTTATCTACTTTGACCTTCCTTAACTACTATTGACCACTATCAACTAAGCTGACTTTCATATAGCTCATTCGCATTTAATTCCTAGTCAAGCCAAGGTAATGGACTTAAGTTGAATGCTTTGTATTGGAACTTTTCTTGAATATCCTAAAAACTATGAGAACTTTTCAAAATCTTCTCCTCTCCCCTTCTCCATGAATTAATGATCGATCACTTCTCTCTCCTTTTCAATGATTTCATCCACTTAAATAATTAATGCATGCTTGAGTCTGTATGTACCATGTTATTTCTTTCTTATAATAGAAATTTGTTGAATGTTGAAGGAAAATCATATAATTTTTTTACTGAAATATTCTTCTGTGTTTAATCTTTCAAATACTAAAAGAAGGATTTCATGAGTGGTCATAAATTAATATATATCGTGCAATTTGAGGTGCGCATGTATATGCAGATGATGAGTTTACAACTTAATTTACTCTTAAATCCCAAAAAATACTACATGACATTGACATAATAATAATAATAATAATAATAATAATAATAATAATAATATATTATTATTATTATTATTATTATTATTATTATTATTATTATTATTATTATTATTATATGAAGAAGGGGGAAGAGGAGGCCAATTAAACCCATTGTTGTTGTTGTAATTTTGATTTTGGGTGAATGCAATGTAGTTTTGGGTTGTTGGGGTAGGAAATTCAAATTTGAGTAAGTCATGATAGGTGAACTTGATGGAGTATCAGCAAGTGTATGAAGAATAAAGAAGATATTGCTAAGGTTTGTTTTAATTATTTTTTATTTTTTATGTGTGTGGGTGAATTACTATGAATTGATAGGTTACATTGCAACAATTAATCATTAATCATTAAACTCTTATAATAACAAATCAATTATGAATATTACAACAAGCTAATAAAATGAATCTACATTAAAGCTTCGTTTGGGATAGCTTTTGATCTATACTTTTTCTATGCGTTTATTAAAGTTTTGTGCTACAAAATTGTTTTTGAAAGCAGTAAGAAAGCAGAGCCATCCAAAACGAAGCTCGAACAGCTAGCTTTTTGCCACTATTTTTGTCTGTTTTAAATAAATTTTGTAAATAAAAAGCTATTGTTGAAAGGAGTAAGAAAGCTGTAGCAAACGAAGTTTAAAATTCAACCTAATATGTTTCTCAAGTTATATCAGTTCTATTCTATCTTAAGCCTGTCATCTCCTAAATTAACCACTACAGGAAAAACGTTATTTTCCGGCGACCATTTCCGACGGAAAAATGACCAAAATACGTCGGAAATTAGCATTTCCGGCGCAATTCCGGCGGAATTTTTTCCGCCGGTTACACGCGAGTCGGAAAATGACTTCCGGCGTTAAAAAATGCGACGGAAATATTTCCGGCGCATTTCCGACGAAAAATTCGCCGCAAATAATTTCCGGCGATTTGTTTTTGCGCCGGAAAAAAAAAATTGAAAAAAAAATGTGCAGACAGCCAACGGGCCGGCCCAACCTAAATTGTTTTTTTAAAGCAAGAACATTTTTTAAAATTAATTAATTTAATTTAATAATAAAATAATGAATTAGTTAAAATGTCGTCGGAAAATATTTATTTTCAATAAATTAATTTAACAATACATTATTAAATTATTTAACTTAATTTAACTAAATAAAAAATCTAAATTTTATTATTAATAATTTTTTTAGAATTTTTTAATTTCCGTTGGAAATGTCGTCGGAAACTCTGCCGGAAAAAATCCGACCGCAAATCCGTCGGAAATTCTGTCGAAAAATAGTCGGAAAAATTTGACCTTAATCCGTCGGAAATGCGCCGGAAAAACCGCCGGAAACAATTCCGCCGGAAAATTCCGCCGGTAATAGACAGTTTTCCTGTAGTGAACTCATCTTCGCTTAATTCAAATCACAATAATTATTCGTGAATGAATGATGCCGCAGTGATTCATGAGCTGATAGATATCTTCATATGGAAATTAAAGCA